CAGTCTCCAGAGTAGCTGGGACTACAGGCATGTGTCGCCACGACCAGCTAATTTTTTGTATCTTTAGTGAGACGGTGTTTCACCATGTTGGCCAGGCTGTTCTCGCACTCCTGACCTCATGATCTGCCTGCCTCAGCCTCCCAAAGTGCTGGGATTACAGGTGTGAGCCACCTTGCCTGGCCCCCACCCCTTTTTTTTGAGATGGAGTCTCACTCTGTTGCCCAGGCTGGAGTGCAGTGATGTGATCTCAGCTCACTGCAACCTGTGCCTCCCAGATTCAAGTGATTCTCCTGCTTCAGCCTCCTGAGTAGCTGCGATTACAGGCCCCTGCCACCAGCTAATTTTTTGTATTTCTAGTAGATAGGGTTTCACAATGTTGGCTAGGCTGGTCTCTAACTCCTGACCTCGTGATCTTCCTGCCTCTGCCTCCCAAAGCGCTGGGATTACAGGCATGAGCCACCATGCCTGGCCACACCTTTTTTTTTTTTTGAGATAGAATCTCCCTCTGTTGCCCAGGCTGGGGTGCAGTGGCATGATCATAGCTCACTGCAGCCTCGAACTTATAGGCTTAAGCGATCTTCTCACCTCAGCTTCCTGGGTAGCTGGGACTACAGACATAACCACTGTGCCTGGCCATGTTTGGCACATTATAGACACTTAGGAAATATTTGTTGAGGGTTGGGTGCGGTAGCTCACGCCTGTAGTCCCAGCTATTTTCCCTCCTAGAATTTTGGGAGGCCAAGGTGGGCGGATGACCTGAGGTCAGGAGTCCGAGAACAGCCTGGCCAACATGGTGAAACCCCATCTCTACTAAAAATATTTTAAAAATTAGCTGGACATGGTGGCGCATGCCTGTAATCCCAGCTACTTGGGAAGCTGAGGCACAAGAATTGCTTGAACCTGAGAGGCAGAGGTTGTGATGAGCCAAGATCGCCACTGCGTTCCAGCCTGGGTGACAGAGCAAGACTGTCTCAAAAAAAAAAAAAAAAAAAAAAAAAAAGAGAAAGAAAGAAAAAAAAGAAAAAAGAGGCCGGGCACGGTGGCTCACGCCTGTAATCCCAGCACTTTGGGAGGCCGAGGCGGGCGGGTCACGAGGTCAGGAGATCGAGACCATCCTGGCTAACACGGTGAAACCCCGTCTCTACTAAAAATACAAAAAATCAGCCGGGCGTGGTGGCGGGCACCTGTAGTCCCAGCTGCTCGGGAGGCTGAGGCAGGAGAATGGCGTGAACCCGGGAGGCGGAGCTTGCAGTGAGCCGAGATCGTGCCACCGCACTCCAACCTGGGCGACAAAGTGAGACTCCGTCTCAAAAAAAAAAAAAAGAAAGAAAAAAGAAAATATTTGTTGAACAGTGAATGAAAATATTATTTATTTGCAATTTATTCATTCATCAAATATTTACTGGTGATAAAACCCAGACAAATCTCTACCCTCTTGGACCATACAGTACAGTGGGGTTGGGGTTATTGATACTGAATAAATAAGCACATAAAGTAAATATAGTATTTTCCAACTGCGAAAAGAGCTTTGGCCGGGCGCGGTGGCTCACGCCTGTAATCCCAGCACTTTGGGAGGCCGAGGCGGGCGGATCATGAGGTCAGGAGATCGAGACCATCCTGGCTAACACGGTGAAACCCCGTCTCTACTAAAAATGCAAAAAATTAGCCGGGCGAGGCGGCGGGTGCCTGTAGTCCCAGCTACTCGGGAGGCTGAGGCAGGAGAATGGTGTGAACCCGGGAGGCGGAGCTTGCAGTGAGCCGAGATAGCGCCATTGCACTCCAGCCTGGGCGACTAAGCGAGACTCTGTCTCAAAAAAAAAAAAAAAAAAAAAAAGAAAAGAGCTTTGAAAGCAAAGTACTGGTAGCTGTGAGAGTACTATGCAGATGATCTGACTCAGTTTGGGGTGGGGTGGTCAGGCCAGGCTTTCTAAAAGAAGTGATATTTGAGGGATAGCTGAAGGATGAGTTGGTTAGCTGGATAGAGGAAGGTGGGTGGGAGTGGATGGAGAAGAGCTTCCAGACCCAGAGAACAGACTGTACAAAGGCAATTCAGTCGGCAGGAACAGAGAGAAGTGTGGTTGAGGCCGTCAGGTCAGCCATGGTGTGGCACTTACTGGCGAGAACACGAGTGTCAGTGAAAGATTTTAAACAGGAAATGACAAAGCTCTGAGTGGGTAAGAAGCGGTCACTCCAGAGAATAGAGTTTAAAAGGATCAGTGTGGAAGCAGGGAGATTAGTTTGGAGGCAGTTGCCGTGTCCAGCCTTGGGCTGGTGTAGGGTGGCGGCAGTGAGTTTGGAGAGAAGCCGCGTATAGTGATGACAAACATTTTCCTTAGAGCTCAAAGGAAAATGTTCAAGAAAATCTCAGCTGGTCTGAAGGTGGTGAATTATTTCAATTGATTGTTCACAATCAGTTACAGATGGAACTTCTTTTTCTACTCTCGTCCCCTTCTCACTACTGCACCTGACTAGTCTTTTAAAATTTAAAAAAAAAAAAAAAGGCTGGGTGTGGTGGCTCACACATGTAATCCCAGCACTTTGGGAGACTGAGATGGGCAGATCACGAGGTCAGGAGATCAAGACCATCCTGGCTAACATGGTGAAACCCCGTCTCCACTAAAAAAATACAAAAAAATTAGCCGGGTGTGGTGGCGGTTGCCTGTAATCCCAGCTACTCAGCAGGCTGAGGCAGGAGAATGGCGTGAACTCAGGATGCGGAGCTTGCAGTGAGCCAAGATGGAGCCATTGCACTCCAGCCTGGGGGACAGAGTAAGACTCCATCTCAAAAAAAAAAAAAAGGAAAGTCGGTTGCAGTAGCTCATGCCTGTAGTCCCAGCACTCTGGAGGCTGAGGCAGACAGATCACTTGAGGTCAGGAATTTGAGACCAGCCTGGCCAACATGGTGAAACCTCGTCTCTACTAAAAATACAAAAAATTAGCTGGGCGTGGTGATGCGCGCGTGTAATCCCAGCTACTCGGGAGGGTGAGGCAGGAGAATTGCTTGAATCCCAGAGGCAGAGGTTGCAGTGAACCAAGATCGTGCCACTGCACTCCAGCTTGGGTGACAGAGCAAGACCCTGTTTCAAAAAACAAACAATGCCAGAACAATGATGACACACGGCTGTAACTGCAGCTATTTGTTGGCGGGGGCCGGGGGGAACATTCTTTGAGCCCAGGAGTTCAAGGCTGCAGTGAGCTGTAATTGCACCACTGCACTCTAGCCTGGGCGACTGAGTGAGACCCTGTCTCTAAGGGTACATGAATCCAGAAAAGTCCATTAATCCAAAAATACAACAATAAAAATGAATAACAAAGAGTTCATGGCTGGGAGTGGTGGCTCACGCCTGTAATTCCAGCACTTTGGGAGGTCGAGGTGGGTTGGGATCACCTGATGTCAGGAATTCGAGATTGGCCTGGCCAACATGGTGAAACCCCGTCTCTACTAAAAATACAAAAACTGGCTGGGCACGGTGGCTCACGCCTGTAATCCCAACATTTTGGGAGGTCGAGGCAGGTGGATCACGAGATCAGGAGATCGAGACCATCCTGGCTAACACAGTGAAACCCCGTCTCTACTAAAAACACAAAAAATTAGCCGGGCATGCTGGCAGGCGCCTGTAGTCCCAGCTACTCGGGAGGCTGAGGCAGGAGAATGGCGTGAACCTGGGAGGTGGAGATTGCAGTGAGCCAAGTTCGCGCCACTGCACTCCAGTGTGGGAGACAGCGAGACTCCGTGTCAAAAAAAAAAAAAAAAAAAATTAGCCGGGCGTGGTGGTGGGCACCTGTACCCCCAGCTACTTGGGAGGCTGAGGCAGGAGAATCACTTGAACCCAAGAGGTGGAGGCTGCAGTGAGCCGAGATCACGCCATTGCACTCCTGCCTGGGTGACAAGAGCAAAACTCTGTCTCAAAAAAAAAAAAAAAAAAAAAAAGAGTTCATGAAAGTCTTCATTTTATGCAAAAGCAGGTCAATTAGCTTAGCGTAAGGGAGCCTTTAATATGTTTAGCGAATAAATGAAGGAAGGAGAGAAATGTTTGAGAGGGCAAAAAAAGATAAAAAAACGTGAGAGAGTTGAGGTAAAAAAACGGAGAGAGGAAAATGAAATGAGACAGAGCCAGAATAAACAGGGTATGTGAGAATCTGAGAAGTATGAGGAGGTTGGAGGGTAGTAGGAAGATTGGGAGGAAACTGGGCAGGGTGGGTGGGGAAAGTGCAGTGTGCACCTAAGAAGGGGGAAGAAAGAGTAATTGCTGATGCTGGGTTCCAAGGAGACTGGAGACAAGGCGCAAAGGTAAACGAAAAGACAAGGAGTGGGCTGGGTGCGGTGGCTCACGCCTGTAATCCTGCACTTTAGGAGGCGGGGGTGGGGGGATTGCTTGAGTTCAGGTGTTCGAGAGCAGCCTGAGCAACACGGTGAAACCCCTTCTCCACCAAAAATACAAAAACTTCAGCTGGGCGTGGTGGTGTGCACCTGCGGTCCCAGCTACTGGGGACGCTGAGGCGAGGTGATCGCTTGAGCCCGGGAGGCGAGGCTGCAGTGAGCTGAGATTTGCACCTCTGCACTCCAGCCTGGGTAACACAGACCCCTCCCCTCTCAAACAAACAAACAAACAAAAAAGACAAGGAGTAAAATAGGGAGCTCCAAAGCAGGAAAGGCAGGAAGGGGAGATGACCAAAGATGAAGGAGGAAGGAGCAAAAGGCTGGAAGGGGTGCCAGGAGGAAGGAGGGAGCAACGCTTTGGGGAGACAGAGCAAAACTGCAGGGTGAGGGACCATGGACGACCACCTTAGAGAGCCAGATTATAGGGAGGATGGAACAGTGAGGGTGTGAGGGTGTGCACAGCAATAGGCAGTGCTCGGGAGGGAAAGAGAAACGGGCGAGTGTGGGGGAGGGATGGGAAAGGTGGAGGATAGGTCTGAAAAGACTCTAAGGGAGGGGAACGATGGGTGTGGCCAAGACTCTGACCTAGCCCTCACCCCGCTCCCCACCCTCGGCCGGCTTTCGGTCCCAGTGGTTTCTTCCTCCAGTTAGGATCCTTGATGCCGGAGGGGCTAGTGGTAGGTGGGGAGGTTGAGTGCAAAGGGTTCAGGCTGTAAGTCATGTCGGGTTGGAATGGGGGCACAGGCAGGTGGGGCTGTTGGGGAGCCACGCTCAGAAGCCGGGTGTCTGTAGCAGAGCCAGAGAACCGGGACCGTGAAGCGGGTGCTGAAGGGGGCGACTCTCAGGGATCGGGCCAGGGTCCCCGAAGGTGGGATCGACTAGGGTAGGAGACAGAAAAAAAAAGGAAAGCAGCGGGTGGGGGCGAAAGCAGGGCCGGGGAGAGAGCACTTTGGACAGAACCCGGCGGGGAAAGGGCGGCGCCGAGGCTGGTCAGGGGCGCCCCGCAGCGTCCCAGGCGCACCTGTTGGGAAGAAGGGAAGGGGCATCCCGGTGTTCGAGGGAAATCCAGTCCGGAGGGGCTGATTCGGAGCTTGGGACTCCCGGGGAGCCACCGCCTCCTCCCCAGAGGCGGTCAAAACCGGGCAAGCGAAGGGGCGTGACCCTGGTGCTCAGGTTTCTTCCTCCTCACCTGGGCAAGGAGGGGTGGGGGCCACGACTTCCGGTTCAGGTGAGTGTCCCTTCGATGACGTCAGGTCACCCTCGGCCGCCCCTCCGGTCCCGCCTTCCCCTCCCGCGCTCCCGGGGCCCGCGGGCCGCGCCCCCGACGCCCTACATATACTCAGGTGCGCCCCACCTGTCCGCCCGCACCTGCTGGCTCACCTCCGAGCCACCTCTGTTGCGCACCGCAGCCTCGGACTAACAGCCCAGGATACTTTGGGACTTGCCGGCGCCCAGAACCGCGCCCAGACGGCCCCTCCACCTTTTGTTTGGCTAGGGTCGCCGAGAGCGCCGGAGGGAACCGCCTGGCCTTCGGGGACCGCTTTTGTCTGGAATCACCCTCCCGGCGTATCCTATTCCCTCTGCTGCGAGGCCTTCGCTTCACTGGAGGGGTCGATTTGTGTGTACTTCGGTGACAAGATTTGCATTCACCTGCCCCAACTCTTTTTGTCTCTTTGGGTGACCGGAAAACTCTACCTCAAGTTTTCTTTCGTGGGGCTGCCCCCCAAGTGTCGTTTGCTTTACTGTAGGGTCTTCCGCCCGGCGCCCCCAGTGTTTTCTGAGGGCGGAAATGGCCAATTCGGGCCTGCAGTTGCTGGGCTTCTCCATGGCCCTGCTGGGCTGGGTGGGTCTGGTGGCCTGCACCGCCATCCCGCAGTGGCAGATGAGCTCCTATGCGGGCGACAACATCATCACGGCCCAGGCCATGTACAAGGGGCTGTGGATGGACTGCGTCACGCAGAGCACGGGGATGATGAGCTGCAAAATGTACGACTCGGTGCTCGCCCTGCCCGGTAAGGCCGCGGGACCGACGGGGCGGACGCGCCCCGGACCGAGGTGGCGGGGTGGCGCGCGTGGGAGAGCCGAAGCCCCACGCTGGGCGCCCTGGGTTGCCGGGGAGCTGCAGGACGAGGAAGTGGTCGGGTGGGGGCGGCGAGGCTGGGCGGGGGCGGGCCGGGGTTCTGGCGGCTGCACGTGGGCGCGCACCTCGGTCGCCCACGGTCCTCTTCCGCCCCCCAACCCAGCCTAGTCCCTGGCTCCGAGCAGCGGTTCTTAGGCCGGAGCCGTCCCCTCCCCAATCCCTGGGCAGGCCACGGACTCCGTCATCTCCCGCCCTTTTCTCAGACAGAAACGACCCCGGGTCGCGGGGCACCGGGCGCGCCGAGGGCCGAAGGGCGGTGCGGCTGGTCACAGTGGGCCGCCGCCTGCGGCCTCTAATCTTATCGGCCGATTAGCCGAAGCCACAAACCCGGTGGCCTCGATAGCGGGCTCAGAGCAGGGCCGCCGGCTGCCATGTGCGCCGCGCGGGGCTCGGGCCACCGTCTCGGCTTCCTTTCGTTGCCCCTTTCACCCTTCCCCCTATACAGGGCAGTTTCACCGAAACCCCGGCGCCCCGGGCGGATCCTTGAGCGGAGAGGGCGGGGCGGGAGCAGGAAGGCCGCGCTGTTGGGATGGGCGGGGACCTGCCCGTTTGGCCCAGGCCTCGGACACCTGGGCGCCCCTGGCCCGCGGCAGAACACGGCGCCGGACAGACGGGGTCCAGGGGTTAGTGGGCGCGGTCGGCTGCACGAAGGCTGGAGCCACCTGCATTTCCAGCAATGACGGCGCCCTTTCCCCTCGCCCGCAGCGGCTATGCAGGCCACTCGAGCCCTAATGGTGGTCTCCCTGGTGCTGGGCTTCCTGGCCATGTTTGTGGCCACGATGGGCATGAAGTGCACACGCTGTGGGGGAGACGACAAAGTGAAGAAGGCCCGTATAGCCATGGGTGGAGGCATAATTTTCATCGTGGCAGGTGAGCCCCAGGGTTCTCCCATCTGGGAGGAGCGAGGCTGGGCAAGGTGCCCGTTTGGGGTCCCACTATACCGAAACCCTCATTCTCTCTCCAGGTCTTGCCGCCTTGATAGCTTGCTCCTGGTATGGCCATCAGATTGTCACAGACTTTTATAACCCCTTGATCCCTACCAACATTAAGTAAGTCTGGGAACCCTGCCTCCTAAGGGGACAGGTCTGGGGTCCCGGGATAGGGAGGAGGGCAGAGGCAGGTCAGGGTTTCTAACCACCCCTTTCTCTTCACAGGTATGAGTTTGGTCCTGCCATCTTTATTGGCTGGGCAGGGTCTGCCCTAGTCATCCTGGGAGGTGCACTGCTCTCCTGTTCCTGTCCTAGGAATGAGAGCAAGGCTGGGTACCATGCACCCCGTTCTTACCCTAAGTCCAACTCTTCCAAGGAGTATGTGTGACCTGGAATCTCCTGGCCCCAGCCTGACAGGCTGTGGGCGTGTCTAGATGCCTGAAAGGGCCTGGGGCTGAGCTCAGCCTGTGGGCAGGGTGCCGGACAAAGGCCTCCTGGTCACTCTGTCCCTGCACTCCATGTATAGTCCTCTTGGGTGGGGGGTGGGGGGTGTTGGTGGGAGAGACAAAAAGAGGGAGTGTGTGCTTTTTGTACAGTAATAAAAAGTAAGTTTTGGGAAGCAGGCTTTTTTCCCTTCAGGGCCTCTGCTTTCCTCCTGTCTGGATCCTCGCAGGGAGCTTGGAACCTTACTGCACCTACTTCAGTTCAGAACACTTAGCGCCCCAGTGGCCTGCACACCATTCCTGGCCCCCAGACTCCATTGACAATAGACTAAAAGATGCAGGTGCTTGTATCTTGACATCCATTCCCAACCCCCTTATTTAAATAGCTACCAAAGTATTTCTTTTTTAATAAAAAAATAAAGATTTTATTAGGTACAGGGATGTTCTACTCTCACATTATCCCATGTCTTCATCCTACCTTCTGTCCTGATGAGACACTGCTTCCTGGCTCACAGAGCAGGGATCCATAGACAAGGGGAACCAAGGTGGGGTAGGGACAGGGTAAGGCTAACACAAACAAGAGAAAGATGGTTCTGGGCCCAAAGTCTTCCTGTGCCCCCTCCAATTACAATCTAATCAAATCTGACCAGTCAAATATCTAGGTCGTCATCTGGGTCTTCTTGGTCCAGGTCATCATAAGCATCTGGCTCATAGAAGATGTGGCTGGTAGCCTGGCCTGGCCTAGGCCGCAGGAGAGCCTGCTGTCTGAGAAGGGAAGATTTGGTGCTGGTGAGGGTAGCTGACAGGTTGGGTCTGGATACTTTCTTCCAGGTGACTGTGACTCTCATTCAGGCAACCTGTTAGGCCTCCATGTCATTTTCTTGGTCCAAGTCCCTTTCTCTCACCTCCATGTTAGAGCTGAAGCACCATTTGGTACTGGAATAGATACCCTTGTACAGCTCTCCTAATAAAACCGTAACTTCCTAGCAGCTTGGGGGCAAGGATCTTGTAGTCTTGCTTCATCCACCCACACACTGGGCACAGAACAGCAGGCATGCACTAAGCCCTTGTTAACCAGCCTTTGCCACGCCCATATAGCCTTCTGTCCTCCTAGCACCACTGCCTAGGGATAGGGCCACCTCCCAAGGGTCTGGTCTGGCTCAGCCCAGGCCCAGGGTGCTCTGGGGACAACTGGAGCTGTGACCCAAGGGTCTAAGGGAGAGAAAAGAGACATAAAGGCCCTCGGCCATTGTAGGGGGAATGGGTGGATCAAGAACTTGGACTTGTCTCTGGAGGTGGACTTCAGCCCCTATAAAGTCAGGTTAATCAATAACCTGCTGTTGCCCCACCTCTCCGTGGCCCAGATGCTGGGCTCTACTCAGGGATCCACGTACCCAGGTCCCAACCTTACTTTTCAGAGCTGAACTGGAAGGGCAGGATCAGGCTATCTCTGGCTTCTCTCTCTTTCTTGGACAGGTGAAGGTTAAAGGTCAAATGAGTTGTGGGATCCACCTGTAGGTACAAAGGATGCTGCCACTCTGCTCCATCCCTAGAATCCCTGACCCCACCCCCAACCTCTGCAGCTTTTATGCTCTCCCCTTTGACCAGACCCTAAACTACATTTCCTTGTTCTGGCCCTGGCATTCTTAGATACCGGGGGTATATGAGGATCGGAGCAGGGCTGGGACTCTACAGAGGGTCCCTCTTGGAGATCCAGGCTGAAGTCTGGAAGTATGGAGAACCACTGAGTCTGGAGAGAAAAAAGAAAAGAGTTTTTTTCATCTTACTGAAGAAACTAGAGAGACTCTAGGACCTCACATCCTCAGCCCCCAATCACCTATTTCACTGCTTTCAGCCCCTGCCCTCAACTTTTAATTTTTTTTTGAGACAGGGTCTGGCTTTGTTGCCCAGGCTGGAGTACAGTGGCGTGATCTTGGCTCACTGCAACCTCCACCTCCCAGGTTCAAGTGATTCTCCTGCCTCAGCCTCTCGAGTAGCTGGGATTACAGGCGCGTACTACCACGCCCAGCTAACTTTTGAATTTTTAGTAGAGATGGGGTTTCTCTGTGTTGGCCAGGCTGGTCTCGAACCACTAATCTCAGGTGATCTGCCCACCTCGGCCTCCCAAAATGTGGGGATTACAGGTGTAAGCCACTGTGCCCAGCCTCTATTTTATTTTCAAAAGTGAAAGCAAGTTTATTAAGGAAGTAAAGGAATAAAAGGATGGCTACTCCTTAGGCAGAGCAGCCCCACTTACTCTTTTTTTGAGACAGAGTCTCACTCTGTTGCCTAGGCTGGAGTGCAGTGGCATGTTCCTGGCTCACCTCCACCTCCGCCTCCCAGGTTCAAGTGATTCTCCCGCCTCAGCCTCCCGAGTAGCTGGGACTACAGGCACCCACCACTATGCCCAGCTAATTTTTGTATTTTTAGTAGAGACGGAGTTTCATCATGTTGGCCAGGTTGGTCTTGAACTCCTGACCTCAGGTGATCTGCCCACCTCTGCTTCCCAAAGTGCTGGGATTACAGGTGTGAGCCACCTTGCCCAGCCCCACTTACATTTTTTTTTTTTTTTTTTTTTTTTGAGGAGTCTCACTCTGTTGCCCAGGCTGGAGTGCAGCGGCATGATCTTGGCTCACTGCAGCCTCTGCCTCCCGGGTTCAAGCGATTCTCTTGCCTTAGCCTCCAGAGTAGCTGGGACTACAGGTGTGCGCACCATGCCCGGCTAATTTTTGTATTTTTAGTATAGATGGGATTTCACCATGTTGGCCAGATTGGTCTCAAACTCCTGACCTCACGCAATCTGCCTACCTTGGCCCCCCAAAGTGCTGGGATTACGGGCGTGAGCCACCTTGCCTGGGCCCCACTTACACTTTATAATCTTGGTAAGTGACTTAAATTTAAACCTCCCTGGGCCGCGTGCCGTGGCTCACACCTGTAATCCCAGCACTTTGGGAGACCAAGGCCAGAGGATGGCTTGACCCCAGTAATTCAAGACCAGCCTGGGCAACAGGGTGAGATCCCACCTATATAAAAAACTAACAAGCTGGCTGGCTGTGGTGCTACGTGCCTGTGTTCCCAGCTCCAGCTACACCAGAGGCTGAGGCAGGAGGATCACTTGAGCATGGGAGGTCAAAGCTGCCGTGAGCTATGATTGCACTACAGCACACCAGCCCGGGCCACAGAGTGAGACCTTGTCCAAAAAAAAAAAAGAAACAAGGAAAAAAAAACCCTCCCTGTACTGGCTTTCCCACCTGAAGAACTGTGATAATAAAACAATCTACCTTACACCATAGCTGAGAAGATTAAATGAGGTAAGTGATGGAAAACACAGAGAGATACCCAATCAGCTTTTTTTTAAAAAAGGTCTCCCTGAGGGCCGGGCACACTCACTCACATCTGTAATCCTAGCACTTTGGAGGCTGAGGTGGGAGGATCACTTGAGCCCAGGAGTTTGAGACCACCCTGACCAACACAGTGAAACCCCATCTCTAAAAAAAGTTTGTTTTTAAAGTCTCCTTGAAATATCAGCATTTTCATTGTTCTTCCCATCGTGCCACTCCTTTCTCTGCCCCCAATTTCCAGTCCTTCCCTGTTGGTTCTTCTGACCTGGTCAGTTGGGCGCTGTCGGGGCCTCCGACACAGGATGTGGGCCGAGGCCTGGCCCTTTGTACCGCCCAGGGTCACCTCAGTCTGCGCAAGGCTGCTGAGAGCTCCCACAGGGCCTGGTCCGTGAAGCTCTTCATGTAGCAAGCCCAGCACACTCACTTTTCCCACCGGGGAGCTGTCACCTAGAGACGGACAAGACATGTAGGATAGTAGGGAGCATTCAGGTTGGTGGCCTGGGAGCAAACAGTGAAGAGAAAAGGAGAGAGCCCCACAATTCCATCACAGTGCTGCCAAAATCCTGACTTCCCTTGGCCAATCTCACTACTGTGCTCTGAGCCTCCTCCAGCCCACACCTTAATCTCCTCTATCATCCCCGTGTAAAGCTGATCAAGGCACCGCTCTAACTTCTATCCTTCAGCAGCTCCTCCGCCTTCAGGATGGAATGAACACTTCTAGCAGGTGGTGTCCACTTACTTTCTAGCCTCATCTCTTACACACGGAAGTACTTGTAGTTTCTGGAACTTCCCAAGATCTCAGTCAGTGCCTTTAGAGAGTGTCAGGCACTATGCTAAACGCTTTAACACAATGTTTGAATCCTTACAAAGGTCAGCATTTTTAGGTTAAACCGTATGAAATCACTGACATTTAACAATTTTTTTCTTTTTTTTTTTGAGACGGAGTCTTGCTGTCACCCAGGCTAGAGTGCAGTGGCACAATCTTGGCTCACTGCAACCTCTGCCACCCGGGTTCAGCAATTCTGCCTCAGTCTCCCGAGTAGCTGGACTACAGGCGTGTGCCACCACGCCTGGCGAAGTTTTGCATTTTTAGTAGAGATGGGGTTTCAGCATCTTGGCCAGGCTTGTCTTGAACTCTTGACCTCATGATCCACCTGTCTCGGCCTCCCAAAGTGCTGGGATTACAGGCGTGAGCCACCACGCCTGGACTGTTTTTAGTTTTTATTTTTTGAGATGAAGTATTTCTCTGTCACCCAGGCTGAAGTACAGTGGTGTGATCTCAGGTCACTGCAACCTCTGCCTCCTGGGTTCAAGTGATTCTCCTGCCTCAGCCTCCCGAGTAGCTGGGATTACAAAAGTGCGCCACCACACCCAGCTAATTTTTTGTATTTTTAGTAGAGACAGGGTTTTACCATGTTGGCCAGGCTGGTCTCCAACTCCTGACCTCAGCTGATCCACCTACCTTGGCCTCCCAAAGTGCTGGGATTACAGGTGTGAGCCACCGTGCCCAGCCAATATTTAACAATTTTTGATCTAAGAAATGGCAATATAGTAGTTTATCCTAATACTTCCCTTGTACCTTCCCCCATATACAGCGGAAAGTGAAGCAAGTGAAAGTCAAGCACCTTAATACAAAGCTGAGCGTCTGATTCCTAAGTCCATTCGAGTACCCACAGTGCACTTCAGGGCTAGTCCCAGTGCCCCTGCCCGGCCAAATCTGCCTGGCTGACCGCTTGCTCTTCAAAAGTGCCTTTATTTTTTGACACGGACTCTCGCTGTATCACCCAGGCTGGAGTGCAGTGGCGCGATCTCGGCTCACTGAAAGTTCCGCCTCCCAGGTTCATGCCATTCTCCTGCCTCAGCCTCCCAAGTAGCTGGGACTACAGTCGCCCGCCACCAGGCCCAGCTAATTTTTTTTGTATTTTTAGTAGAGATGGGGTTGCACCATGTTAGCCAGGATGGTCTTGATCTCCTGACCTTGTGATCTGCCCACCTCGGCCTCCCAAAGTGCTGGGATTACAGGTGTGAGCCACCGCGCCCAGCCGAGAGGGCCCTTCTTTAAGGTACCCTGTGCATGTCCTATATCATCATGGCCTTTATCAGACCATCTTGTAACTGCCTGTTTACTTATCTCCATCTTTTATGGGACTTCGAGCTCCTGGAAGGCAAGGACCCAGCTACAGTCAGTCTGTATTTTGCCATTATCTAGAATTGTACCTGACATATTATATGTATTTACTATTGATTTGTTAAATAAATGAATGAGTGAAACAAATGAGTAAAAAAATAACTTGGAGGAAAAAAAGCAAATGGTAGATGGCATTAAGGGGAAGTAAAAAAAAAAAAAAACCAGACAAAAAGTTCAAAAAAATGAAAAAAGGTCTGACTGGAGAACCCAGATGTTTCTTCTAGGGTAGAAAGGAAAAGGGGCGCACACCTTGGCAGAGGGAGATATATGAGGGGAAATAATGAAGGAGGGGTCTCACCAGGACAGGAGTCCTGATGGCTCACAGCATGCAGGGCCTGGCAGAGTGTGGTGCAGGGAAGGTGAAGCAGCAGCCAGCTGAGTGAATCGAGAGCAATGGTGACAGGACCAGGATCTGTCCTCTTGCATATGGCTCTCAAGGCTCCCAGCGGCCCCCCAGGAAGGGCCTCCTCAGTTTTTGACCAGTTGAGAGGGTCTCTGAAGAAGTCATGGTAAACCAGCCTGCAAAGGGAAAACATGACACAATATAATATTGCTCCTTCCCCCCAGAGGATCACAAAGTTCATCCTCTGATCTTTTTGGCTCTGTTTTCTCAATTTTCATGAATATCCTAAATATTAGTGAAAGAATATTACTGAGAGATAGCAATGATTGAGAGCACAGACTTTGGTGTCTGACAGCCTGACCTCCAAGCTTGGCTTTGCGACTTGTTGCCCAAGGTCAGCTAAATGATAAATGATCTCTAAGACTCAGTTGCTTCATTGGTGAAATGAGATGCCAACCTCTAAGCACTCAGCACAGTGCTTGACACATAGTGTATGCCTCATAAATGTTAGTTATCACCATTATCACATATTTCCTGAGTGTGGCACCTAAAGTTTATCACTCTGGATAAAAAATGAGAAAGCAGAGGACATGAGACTTGGTTCCTGCCTGTAGAACAGCTTAAAGAAAGTAAAAAATTAAGTCATGGAGTACCAACTACAGAAAAAAATAACAGCTCAGGAAAGGTAGACCAGCAAAGGTAGCAGAACTTTTTTTTTTTTCCCAGATATCTCTTTTTTATCTTCTGGTTCTCTTGTGGAATGCCCTCTTTTTTTTTTTTTTGAGACAGAGTTTCGCTCTTGTTGCCTGGGCTGGAATGCAATGGCACGATCTCTGCTCACCACAACCTCTGCCTCCTGGGTTCAAGCGATTCTCCTGCCTCAGCCTCCCGAGTAGCTGGAATTACAGGCATGTGCCACCATGCCCAGTTAATTTTATGTATTTTTAGTAGAGATGGGGTTTCTCCACGTTGGTCAGGCTGGTCTCGAACTCCCGACCTCAGGTGATCCACCCGCCTCAGCCTCCCAAAGTGCTGGGATTAAAGGCGTGAACCACCACACCTGGCCATGGAATGCCATCTTAACATACACCACCACCTCTATCACAACAATGGCTGATGTAAAATTAGAGGCTCAACAGATAAGATGTAAACTACTATCACCATTCACTGAGTTGCCCAGACTAGGAAGTAGAAAGCATCCTACTAATGGTTCTTAATGTCTCCTGATCAGGCATGTGGCTGGGTTTAGGGACTTCCTTATTTCAATACTTTCTTCTCCCCCACATTAGTCAATAAATCCTGGAAATGCTACCCACTAAACTCCTTTACATGTGTTCTAAACTTTCCATCTCTACTGCCCAGGTCTCTATCACTTTCTACCATTATTCCCTAAAATTCATTAGGCCAGGAACAGGTCTGTCTCATTCACTGCCAGCTCCAGTATCTTGCACAGCACCGGGTTTATAGTTGGTGCTCGGTACATATGCACCTTAATAGCGAACCTGGATTAATGGATTACTGCAATACCCTTCCCACATGTTCTCCCTATCTCCAGGCTATTTCTCTCTCAACTTCTATGATCTTTGCTTTGGATTCCCCAAATACTCATCACTCCTCATTACTCCTTTTACTAAGTCTTGCCTCCTGAAAGACCCATATCCAATTCTTCAATGAATATTTAAGGAACTGCTACTATATACCAGGTTCTGCGCTTGTTATAAATAAATGTCCTTAGCAATAGACGTCTCCAATTTAATCAAATCTTTTCCAACTGGTACTTACCGATTGTTGATATCAGAGTCAAAACCTTCACGAAACTCTTCCTCGCTCACTTCACAGCCCAGGATATGCACTTGCTCCCCACTAAGGCAGAGATGAGGCGGGACTGTCAAAGAGTGGGCACAGGTTCCCTATCCAGGGTAGGCTGAGGAGACACCGTGGGATACTCACCACAGTGCAGATTTCTTGACAAGCGCCTTCAAGAGACTGCGCCCCTCCCACTCCACGGAATCTGCACAGCGAGGGACGGATCGAGTGTGAGGGCGCTAGGATTACCACCCTCGCGAACCCGTCGCGATCTCCACACCTAGCCTGTGACCCATGGCCCTTCCTCTCCACTTCCGTCCCCTCAGCCAGACCCGAACCCCACTGTGCCGCTGGCTCTCACCCCGAAGCAGCACCAGGCCGCCCAAGGATAACAGCGAGTCCAACATCCCCAACTCGCGTCCGGTCCCTGCTCTGGCGCCCTCTGATAGCGTCACGACCCACTGTCCCGCCCCCTCGGGGTGAAACGGGCGGGGCACTCGAGCGTCCTCCCACCATTAAGACCTAACATAGTCTGGAATGAGAGGTGATTATGTTCACTATTCCCAGGGGGGCGCTCACGAGGAGGGCGCCCCTCCCCGAGCCCTGGCGCACAGTCGTACGGACAACGACCCCTTCTACATCTTCACTGTGACCGGGACGGGAAGAGCAGTTGGGGCAGTTGTCAGTGGGAGGGGGAAGAGGACCCATAAACCCCCCGCGAGGGTCCTAACTGCGGGGACAAGTGACGGCCTCCGCCCCGCCCACGCAGTTTGAGGCGGGGCCTGCTTCGCTTCAGGCCCCGCCCCGCGGCCACCTTCTGCGCGTGCGCAATACTGCAGCCTCGTTCGGAGTGCTTCTGACTTTCCTTATACCTACCCCCATAGACCGCGCAGGGGGAACTTAGTCCCGGTGAAGCGAATACACGTCACCACCGGAAGCAGTGTCAAAGGGGAAGAGAGGGGGAAAGACAGGAGGAGGGAGTCCTTTGGGCGGTAAAATGGCGTCTGTCAGAGTGGGAAACCCAGCTGCAGAGGCTGCAGCCCCGCTCCCCAGCGGCTAAAGGACCCCCGAGCTTGGGGAGGGGGAGGCCGCTCCGGCCCAGTGCTCCGCGCCCTTCGGCTCCCCCTCCCCCTCCTTCCCAGCTCCTTCGCTCTGCAGGGCCGTTCTCCGCTGCCGCGGCACTTTGCGCGCCACTGCCCCCGCCCTCCCCGTTCCTGCGGGCAGCCCCCTAGCGCGCCTGCGCAGCGGGCCACTCTCCGCTTTCCCCCTTCCCCTCCCCCTCCCTTTTCCCTTCCTCCCTTTTCCCTAGCCCCCTCCCCCACTGCCCCCTCCCCCAATTATCCTTCCCCTTCCCTCCTGGTCTCGGAGGACCCCATCCTAGCCCGACCTGTCTCGGCCCGCAACCTCCCCAAAGCCGTCGGTGCCACTCCCAGCCCATGTGGGCCCCCGCGGGCTGCCCACGCCTGTCCCCCAGCTCCCCGTTCCGCTGGGCTTTCCCCTCGCCAGGGGTGGCTTTCTGAGCCGCCCGCTCCGTGCCCCTCTCTGCAGCCTCTCCTGCCACTCGGGGCCCCCGTTCCCCCTCCCGGCGGCGGGGGGCTGCCCCCGGGGGGCTGGCGGAGCTGGGCCGCGGGGGCCCCGGGGCCGGCGGTGCCGGGGTCATCGGGATGATGCGGACGCAGTGTCTGCTGGGGCTGCGCACGTTCGTGGCCTTCGCCGCCAAGCTCTGGAGCTTCTTCATTTACCTTTTGCGGAGGCAGATCCGCACGGTGAGCCAGGGTGGGCGCTGGCGGTGTTGGGGACGTCTGTCCGTGGTGGTCAGGGGTTTTCGGAGTGTCGGGCCTCTGTTTGGGCCTAGGAAGGGAGTCCTGACTGGGGCTTTTCTCGCCAGAGAATTGGGCACCCTATGCGGGGCTTGGGCTGGGGAGGACGGAGACCCTTGTAATAGAACCTAGCCCTTGGGGGTTTTGATGGGGCTAGATGGGTCAGGATTTGGTAACTCTTGGGGGCTAAGGTGGTGGGTGGGGCTCTCTTTTAAGAAAGCTGGAGTTGTTGCTAAAGAAACCGAGAGGCGGGGAACACCTGTTTGATGACAGCCAGATCTGTTGATGTGGGTTTGTGAAAGACCCTATTTGGAACCTCGGTGTTTGGTCCCATAACAAGGGACAGACAGACTTGTGTGTCAAGGGTGGAGGTGGGTGGGAGGGCTTGTTACAAACAAGGACTGGAACTTGGCCCTGGGTGTGAAGGAGAAACCCCTGAGGTTCCCATTAAGGGAACTCTTCCAAAAAGACTGAAAATGTATTTCATAGTGTGAGTGTAGGTATCTGGATTTCTAGAGGACTAAAGCAGATACTTTTATGATGGGCCTCTTTAATTGTGGGAGGAAGTTCAAGGTGGGTGCTGTGCCCACCATTAAAGTTTGGGTGTCCCTGTCAGAGGACAGCGCTGGTCAGTTGTAAGGCTTGAATCTGAGGACATGTTTGCTTGTCCAGGAGAGCCTAGCATTCTGAGGGATACTGTCTGGATGGACCCAAGCATCTCTGGGTCCCCTCCTCCTTAGCTTTTCTCCAAGGTCAGAGCTCCTTCAGCTAACAGCACTTTTAAATGAATGTGCTCTTGTGGTCTCACCACCACCAGGGAGAATCCTCGGAAGGAGTCTGGGGAGAATTTAGTAAGCAGAGACAAAGGTTCTGGGTCTGTACTCTGGTCTGTATCCCTTAGCATACCTCAATACAGTTTGAAAGAATAAACCCAGGTTGGGGTGACCTGGGGTCCAGGGAATTTCCAGAAAGCCCTCAGTGGTAGTGGTGGTTGACTTAACTGATTTGGGAGAATGGGTCTGATCTTGGATTCATTCTCTACTTTACCAGTCTGCTTCCACTTCCTGATTCAGGGCGCGAACAGTACAGGATGGTTGTGGCTCTAGGTTGTGGCCCAGAGACGAGCTAGGAGCCAAGAAAAATTTAGAGTCAGAGATGCTGGGATATATGTGGGGCTCTCTCCTGAGATTTTCTTTTCTTTTCTGAGACAGTCTTGCTCTGTCGCCCAGGCTGGAGTGCAGTGGCGCGATCTCGGCTCACTGCAACCTCCACCTCCTGGGTTCAAGCGATTCTCCTGCTTCAGCCTCTTGAATAGCTGGAATTACAGGCACCCACCACCACACCTGGCTAATTCTTGTAATTTTAGTAGAGATGGGTTTTCACCATGTTGGCCAGGCTGGTCTCAAACTCCTGACCTCAAGTGATCTGCCCGCCTTAGCTTCCCAAAGTGCTGGGATTGAGCCACTGCGCCTGGCCTCTTGGGGTTTTCTTTATGGGTTGACTGCCATCTTCTCTGACGTTCTCGCTCTAACACATCAGTTTTCTGGGTATGGGGAGTGGTGCTTCAGCTCATCCACAGGTTACTTCCAAAATTGCTCTCCTTTGGGCAGCACTGACCCCACAGTCTTTTGTCCTCCCTTCCCTTCCAATCTGGTTTCTTTCCCCACCCCCTTTCTGGCAGATGCTTGGAGCATTCCCTACATGCCCAGCATATGCAACCCGAGATAGCAAGGCTGGACACCGGAGCTGTTTCGGACCTCATCATGGCCCAGGGAGAAAAGAAGGGCAGATCTTGACTAGCAGGACAGAGCCCTTTGGGTTTACAAGGGAGATCCTGGTTCTGGTGTGGCTTGGGGCCTAGGTATGCACTGAAGAGGCTTTGTGCCTTTGAAGAAAAGTGTGGAGGAGGGAATTGCCAGGCTTTGCATAGGGAGATGTGCGTATTAGGAAATAGGAACCTCTAGAGAACGCTTGGAGAAGCAGAGCTGGAAGGATGAGGTGGTGACGTCCTTGTCCCTTATTCACCTCTCACTTACGGCCCTGACTTCACTCTGGCCTTCTCCAAACCCTGCCAGTCAGCCTGGCAGGGGCTTTCCAGTGTTCTTTGCCTTGCCCTGGGTACCAGGATAAGGGGACTGTTCAGAGGGCTGAGGTTCTCTGAACTTGTGACTTGGCTACAAGAGACAGAAGTGGACAGGTGGCTGGTTAAAATAGGCCTGGTGGCTTCTAGCCAGAGGAACTTAGCTGACCTGACAACCTCTGGATTCCCTTATTCTATATTCCCATTAAGGACCCAGGAATCTCCTCCTGACTCCTACTCCCTGTGCACTAGGGAATCTGAGGCTCTCAGTCCCCAATGTGAGATGATGGTAGTTGCTACAAATAATTCTTGGGGTGAAGGTTGCATTGTGGGGGTCATTTCTTTGTTCAGTGTAGCAGGATAGTATCATGGTTAAGAGGGCAGGTTCGGCCGGGCCGGGGGTTCACGCCTGTAATCCCAACACTTTGGGAGGCCGAGGCAGGTGGATCATGAGGTCAGGAGTTTGAGACCAGCCTGGCCAACATGGTGAAACCCCATCTCTACTAAAAATACAAAAATTAGCCGGGTGTGGTACACGCACCTGTAGTCCCAGCTGCTTACGAGGCTGAGGCAGAATTGCTTGAACTTGGGAGGTGGAGGTTGCAGTGAGCCGAGATCATGCCACTGCACTCCAGCCTGGGCAACAGGCGAGACTTAAAAAAAAAAAAAAAAAAGAGAAAGAAAAAAGAGGGCAGGTTCTTGGATTGAACTACATTGGTATAATCCTGGCTCTATCACTTCATTGATTCTACTATTTTTTTTTTTTTTTTTTTTTTGAGATGGAGTCTCTCTCTCAACAGGCTGGATGGAGTACAGTGGCTTGATCTCGGCTCACTACAACCTCTGCCTCCCGGGTTCAAGCCATTCTCCTGCCTCAGCCTCCTGAGTAGCTGGAGCTACAGGCACGCACCACCACGTCCAGCTAATTTTTGTATTTTTAGCAGAGACGGGGTTTCACCATGTTGGCCAGGATGGTCTCCAGCTCTTGACCTTGTGATCCGCCCGCCTTGGTCTCCCAAAGTGCTGGGGTTACAGGCATGAGCCACCATGCCCGGCTGATTCTACTAATATTAACTGACCACTTTTGCTATAGTGTTCTGGGAACTGGGAATACAGCCATGATCTAGACAAAATCATATTCTCATGGAGTTTTCATTTTAATTAGGGAGAGAAACAAGATAATTCCTAGCTGTGTGGCCTCAGTTTCAACCTTAAAACAGGAATAACAGTAGTATTAGGGTTGTTTTGAGGATTACATGAAAAAGGCCAGGCGTGGTGGCTCATTCCTGTAATCCTAGCACTTTGGGAGGCCAAGGCAGGAGGATCACAAGATCAGGAGGATCACAAGGCAGGAGGATCACAAGACCAGCCAGGCCAATATGGTGAAACCTCATCTCTACTAGAAATACAAAAATGAGCCAGGCATGGTGGCGGGCACCTGTAGTCCCAGCTACTAGGGAGGCTGAGGCAGGAGAATTGCTTGAACCCGGGTGACGGAGGTTGCAGTGAGCCGAGATCGCGCCACTGCACTCCAGCCTGGGCAACAGAGCGAGACTCCATCTCAAAAAAAAAAAAAATAATCAATCCTAAATTACATACACAGTACCTGTGGTAAATGTTCAGTATGTGCTCCTTGTTACTGTTACTGGGGAAGACTTCCTTATAAAGGATTTCAATACTCTTTTGTGCTATTTGTAGGTAATTCAGTACCAAACTGTTCGATATGATATCCTCCCCTTATCTCCTGTGTCCCGGAATCGGCTAGGTAAGTATGTGGTGGGAAGCCTCCTTTAGGGTGAAGTAGGGGCCAGCTTTGGGCCAGAGGTTGGTCAATATTATTCTTCCCCAC